TCCTGTTTAAAAAAAAAAAGAGCAAAAAACCCCAACCCTTCCCCCCCCCCCCCAAAACAAATCACTTCTTTTGTCGAAGATGGGTGGCCTATCTGATGGCGATGATGTCGCGTACACGTAGCAACTCACCGCTGCCCTGAACAAAGATTGTAGGGAAAAATAAGTCACATGCCAGTACTCGATTTTTTTTTTTGTAACAAAAAGAAACCCCACAACAGCCTTCAGTAAGCGTCTACCATGTTGAGAATACAGTCACTGGATTTGTCAGTAGGGAGATACAAATTTTTGTGCCTATGGGGGGAGAATTTCCTGGTAGATAATCTGTACCTATAAAAACGAGGGCAGTGGTGGCCAACCTGTGGCCCAGGCAGCCTCTGTGTTAGGGCACAGGCCAGATCAGGCAGAGAGCAAAGCATCAGCTCGGGCAGGGAGTACAGGACAGGGAGCAGAAAGCAGAGCAGCAAATTGGGCAGGGGAAGAGGGTCAGCGTGGCACTTGGGGAGGCTGCAGGGCTTCATTTGGGGCACGCCTGCCAAAGAGGTTAGCCCCCGCACTGCACTAGGGACAGACTTTCTGGCTGCCTGCCCAGCTCGCTATTAAAAAAAAGGAGAAAAGAAAACCAAAGCTTCCAACTCAATCAAGAACATCTCAAAGGAAGGTTTCAGAGTCATTTAAAATCTCATACACATTTCATGCAGTGGGTTGTTTTCTTTTTAAGCCGTAAACTATGCAGGTCATTAAAAAGTTATGACGAGCTCCTTCATTACGGGATTGGAGTACTGGCAGGGCATTAGTGAGACATTAGGGGCCTTGAGTCATTAGGTTGTGCTTCATTGTCAGTTGTAGTAGATTTCAGAATTAAAAAAAAAAAAGAACGGCTACAATATATTTACACTTTAACACCACGAGTGAAACCAGCTGTAGAGTTATTCACCGTTCAACTGTTTCTGGAGGAACCTAAGCTACTCGGGAATGCAGTATAAAGATGGAAATATGGGTTCTTTTATTGAAAGCTACCAGGGGAAGTCTGACACCATTTAGCTAATCGCTGAATTGTACAAATATTCCCGGATGCCAAAAAAAACAGAGTCCAGTGTTAGAATAACCAGTCTTCTAACAGAAAAGACTCTGTCTGCACAGAAGGCTGTAAGAGTATGAAAAGTTAGCAAAAAATGCACTTTGTATTGGGCTATAAAGATTTGCAGAAAGGTACCTAAAAGACTATTGCCCTTTGAAATAAAAAAAGAGTTTTCATTCACACCTGATTTGGAATTGCTGTTTAACAGGGTTGCCATCGATCCTGCATTGTCCTAAAGTCTACCTGCGGGCTGGCGGATCCTTTGGGGATATGCCTCGAGAGCCTGGCGTCACGTGACACGCAAGGGATATGTCACCAAATGAAAAGCACGGCCTTGAAAACCTCGTTCTCTGTTCCGCTCAGCGTCGAGGCAGGTTGACATCAGGCCACAATGCATTTTTTAGCAGCGGAGAGACTCCAAACAAGGTAAAGATGCACCTGTTTTGATCCCTTCAATATTTAAGCAGACCTCCAACTGAAAAGTTTGGCCTGGATGTGTCCAGATGGCTAAGCTAAATAGAGCGATCTTATTGAGTTGTCTGCCTTTTCTATGCTCCTAAAATGATCATCTCCAGATCCAGAGGGACGGAGGGCTGGAAGGGATGTCACACAGTCATCTAGTCCAGCCCCCGGCCCAAGGAAGGATCATCCCTGACTCAACCATTCCCACCAAGTGTCCAACCTGATTTTGAAGCGTTCCCAGTTGGAGACCCCACAACCTCTCTGGACAGCCTGTCCCAATGCTTGCCCACCCTCCGAGTCAGAAAGCTCCTCCTCATCTCCAGCCTCAATTTCCCGTGTTGCAGCCTGAGTCCATTGCTAAGTCTGGTCCCCAATGGCCACAGAGAAAATTCTCCTCCCCATCCTCTCTCATTGCCCTTCAGGTATTTGAAAGCTGTTATCAAATTCCCCCCTCAGCTTTCTGATCACCAGGCTAACTAATCCGAGCTCTTGCAGCCTTTCCTGATAAGTTTGGCTTTCCAGGCCACAGGTGTTGCTCTTTCCAATCGGTTCACACCCTCCCCGAAGTGTGAGGCTCAAAACTGGACACGGTGCTCCAGGGGAGGTCTGACCGGTGCGGACAGGACCTTTATTTACCTAATGCTCTTGCCAGTGCCAGGTGGCAGATCAACAGCACTGGGCGCTCCTGCCGTCCCATCAGTCTGACCTCTTTGCCTTGCAAGGTGCACCTGCCAGAGAAGGGAGCCCCATTTCCTTTGGATGCCTGGCTAGCCGTGTCCCCGTAACAGCCTACCACCGTGCATGCATCTGCTTAGGTGTTATATATGTGTATATGTCTGGATTAAGTGGTAAAGCAACAACCGAAGAAGGCGGAGACCGTGCAGGAAGTGCTGCCTGGAGAAGAAGCAGGCAAGCAACTACGCTGGCACCTTAAATGTCCGAATTTGGCCACCTGGGATGGAACTCGCCCTCGGCTGAGCCTTTATTCACTCTTCTCCCATTCACCCGCTTCCTTCCCATCTGCACGCTGCTGTTGTTTGAATACAGACTGCGGGGGCCCGTATGTTGCTAACAACAGTCTCTGAATAATCCCTGGGGGAGGAAGGAAAATAGTCGCGCAGATGAGGCGGCAGAGGGAGTTGCGCCAACAGATCGCGGGAAAGAGAGACTCGTGGAGGACAACACAACAGCAGCCGAGAACCGCGCGCGGGCAAGCTCCCAATGCCGTCCATCTGCGGCCCGCTTTACGAAGCTGCGCTCAGTCCTGCTCACCAGCCTGCCTGCTGCCATGCAGGGTGCGCCGGCTCTGTCACCCTGCTTCGGGGAGGCTGCTCTGTGAGGAGATGCCGCCAGGGAAAATTCACTTGCGCCCTGCGATACAGGAGCCAAGAAACAGGTAAAGGCAACAGGCAGAGAAGTGCGGGAGAAAGGAAAGGAGTGCAGAAACACGGTCAAAATAAGACGTGTCCTTGGCAGCAGCATCTGCTTGACTCCGGGGATCCTACACTGCACTGAAGTCAGGACTGGGCTTCAGAATCGCTGGCAACCCTATTATAACACAAGAGGTATTTCAGGCATGGCTAAGGCATCACTGTAGTCTTCTCTTTGCTTTCAGGACCTCCTCTGTTTTTCTCTCTACAGCTTCTTCCACCAGCACGTGGCACCAAGCAATAGAAAACTCTACGTGGAAGGAACCTAGGGAATATCTTCATGCACTACGACCTCCGAGTAGTCACAAAAACATGAAGCACCGATCACAACACACAATTTACTTTTACTTGCAAAATGGAAGCTACCATATACAAATGTTAGACCTGTGGTAATATAGTTTGCTAAGAACACATAGACAGCCAGCATTTATACCGCAAAGTGGGAAGTAACATTGGCTACGGCCTTGCTAAACTCCTTCGTTTAATTTTTTTTTTTTTTAAATTTTGGAAAGCAGTCATAAATCCAGTTCCAGTCTATCTCTGTGCTATTCTAATGGGGAAAAAAAATGGAACAAAGAGAAAAGCACAAGAAGGTATGTTAAGTAGTATCGTCGTCATCTAGGCGGCTGCTATATATATTGGACAATTCAACTTAAATAAAAACTCTTGCCAAAAAATGAACAAAAATATAGTCATTCCGATATGGTTATACACATCCCTAGCATTGAACTTGCTCAGCACAACTGTCTCTCTCTTTTTTTTTCAAATATGGAACAAACAAATATTTTTGTGAGCAGAAAAGTGACACAAATTGAATCTTTATATTTTTCCCCCCTCTCTAGGCATCTCTGCAGACTTCAGATCTGTAGCCTCATGATGTAGGTCATCTTGTTCCCCAAAAAGGTGGCCAGTTTCTTTAAACACACACATCTCTGTAGCTTCCAGGGCTCTTTTTTTTAACTATTATTATTTAATTCTGTGGACTGGAAAGTTGTCCACATTGCTAAAAACTCTACATCAGTGTTCAGGGTGCCCGAGGCTCAGCAGGCTCCTGCAGGGTTTACAGGATTGCACAAAAGAACTTCTTCTCTCTAAAGGGGTTTTCTGAAGCTGGGACAGGAGTCAATAGAGGGTCTTCCTTGGCGTGAGCTTCGCAGTATGCCATCAAGTCTGCTGCTGCTTTGGATACCTGCAAGCAAGCCCAGACACAAGCCAAGTCTTGGATTAGCTGCATGACTTCTTTCTCAGAGGAAGCAAGGAGTGGAAACAGCTCACTGCACTGCGGGGGACTCGGAAACACTGATCCACATTGCCCCTGCATGCGCCACAAAGCTCCCAGCCCCGCAGCACGTTCGTGGGGCCCCTGAAGTCCCTCCCGGGACTGCCTGGAGCCTGGCCTGCTCCTGAGCTAATGCTAGCTGTTTCCAAAGCATGAAACGCTTGGTTTTTCTATAGCAGGCAGTCTCTCGTCTACCTGCGGCAAAAGATTCCTAGTTGTAGTGTACTGCATTTCAGGAGGTGAATACCTGTGACATAGCAAACCTTACTCAGGCTGCACTTCACTGAAGTCTCCCTGAGGACAGTCCTTGATCCTGTTCATGGGGATAATAAGTGTGAATGCATGTGTGCGCACCTGCACCCCTCTTGTGCAGTGGTCACTGCCCTCCACTGCTTTCCCCACAACATGGACGACTGGCCTTGGTCATGCTTGGGGAATACAAGCGGGTGCCTCTATTGCAAGGGCTGCGGGGAGGAAGCCGTGGCGAGGAGGGCAGCCAAGGGGATGCAGCACTTCAATGGGAGAGCTGAACGCTTTCCTGCTGCCAAGGGGTTGAAACGCCTTGACGACCAGGCAGTGATTTGCCAGGCTGAGCATTGTTTCAGGAAGCAGGTCCTTGCCGTTAGCTGCCTCGTCCTCGCTACACATGCCGCAGCGTAGTGCCCCCGAATGCCACCTCTTCCTGGACACTGCACCCCCTGCCCCTTTTAGTCTAAGCTTCACACAGGTGTGCCCAAGTGTTCTGTGGCCTGGCTCTCTTCCCCTGCTAGACCTCATCTCCTCCCCTCCCCTTTTGACTTGTTACCTTTCATCTTCCCCAGCTGGGTTAGCTAAACAGCCGCCAAGAAGTCCCAGAAGCTGGGGGTCCTGTTGCCAAGCCATTTCCCCTCCAACCCTCTCTGAGCAGAGATTCAGGGGACTGTAGGGTTGGAAAGGACCTCGGGGGGTCACTTCAACTCCCTCTCCCTCTTCCTGATGAAACGGTGCTGAGCTTGGGCGTATTTCAAGAGTCTGACGAGACCAGGAGGACGCCAGCAAAGACCTGTTGGACTGTAACCTGCAGACCTCTGTTTTATGCTCACTACAAACCTGAAGGGGAGTTTTGCTTTAGCAGCTTTGATGTGCCGCGCATATAAATCAGGGCCTTCCTGCTCCCAAGCCCCAAGCCATGCACGTCTGCATCAAGCGTACAGAATGCAGTGCTGATTTCTTTTACCATTAAGGTAGTTCTCATTTGCATCTCTTTCAGGCAACACAGCCTTTTTTTCCGACCAAGCAGCCTTGCCTTTCAGCACCTCTAAACATCCAACAAGAGCCTATTAGCATTCGATTTTGAGAGAAAACCAATGCGATGTGCAAGTCTATTTTTACTGTTTGGTTCCAGGCAGGTACTGGATGTCAATGAACCAGCCCTCACCCGATTTAATCTCACTGAAGGCACCGGTGACGTGCAGGGCAGACGAGATGGCAAAGAGCTTGCAGTCGTAAATGCTACACTATTTGTTACAGGCATAACGGAGGATGCAAGCACATGCTAGGAGGGGCAGTCATCTTTATGTCATCCCCAGTCGTGCCCGTGGAGATTTGGAGTTCCCATAGTAACCGATGTTTGCTGTATACAGTCAGTGATCTCACCATCTCCGATTAACATGAATCTGGCTCAGCAGAAGCTCCTGGAGATGTGGACATTTCACTGGGAAGGCCACCACCCACACACACACACACACACACACACACACACACACACACACACACACACACACACACAC